GGAAGACCCACACCAGCCATCGTATGCCGGCCGTGAAAGCCTTCGACAATACATTAAACTGTCCCGACCCAGAAACCTGTGTGGGAGATCAGGGTGTTTTACAACTCGATGCAGCATTCATCTGATCACTTGGACTGTGATTTGAGTTGTGATGGCTTTACCTTGAGAGAACAGTTAGCCGAATTCTACCCATTCTGGAGTAGTTTTCCCTTGCCCCTTAGTTTTCTTTCAACTATTTTTAACCTTGATATAAAGACAGATTCCTAGTAATCAGTGACTCTCAGTCTGAAAAGGCATCTAGCCCGAGATTATGTCCTCTCGGGGAGGAAAGAAAACTGCCACTTGGCACCTCCCAAGTGAAGCAGGCCAGAAAAGGATTTCCCTGGAGTAAAGCAGTGGGTGGTAGGATTCCTTCATAGGTTCTTCTCAGCAGTTGTGGGGCAATGGAGTAGGGTTATGGGTAGAGCTGCTGAGACCCCCTTGAGGTCCCAATCCATGATACCCCACGTGTGTGTGTACCACTGCAGCTACTTCTTTTCAGTGCCCATGTAACGTGGTTTCCCCAAATGGGAATAGCCTGATGGACGTGTATGGAGAAAGGAATAGATGGTGTTCTGTTTGCACTGGGGGAGCCCAACTCTTCTTTGGAGAATGATACTTGGTCTTTTAGTTCTAGATGGTCTGGGACCAATTCAGGTTTTAGAATGAAAGAAGTTACTGTAGTCCTGTTGGGTTTTGTGTGGCACCTAGATGTTCCTGCCAAACTTCTCAGGGGCTTTGGATGCCATTAACTATGGCTGGATTCCCTCCACAGGCCAATCCGTAAAATAGTTTGCTTGTTTGTAGCTTGATGTGCTATGTGTTCCTGACTAGGATTATTTACTAGACCTAGAAAAGCTGTTTAAAAAGAATGTAAAATGCAGGTCCTTTTTACAAGAGAAGCCGGGTTTGATTTTGGCTCTTCTTTCTCCTGCCTGGGTCATTAACTGATTCAGAGCCTCGTGGTTTGGGCAGGAAGGACAGGGACATCAGTGCCTTGTGAAGTCCTGACAATGTTTAATAAACCAGAAAGGGGCCAGACAGTTTTTCACAGAACTGTGCAACCATTCAGAACAAATTTCTGCACCAAAGAACTACTATGAAACAGCAAGTTCTCTCTGTTTATTTACAACCCTGTGCCACATTTCTGAGAACCTCTGCTGACAGGAAGAGCACTATACAACAGCTTCCAAGAGAGTCATGCTGAGCCCCGTTTCTTCCCATCCTAACAACCACCATGAACACTAGGTCAGCCAAGTGGTCTATTTTCTGCACTTTCTGGAGGAAAGGTTCTTCTGACTGATCCAGAAACAAGGCACTTTTGAAAAGCTGTAAATCTAAACAAAGTAGCAGCTCCCCTCAACAGCCAACTCACCAGCAGCTGCCTCTACCCTCAGCATAATCTTGCCAGCTACCCCAAGCAATTGGGAAAGGCACCTTTCATCTGCAGGACAGCTGATAACATCCTACTGTATCTGCCTGAGTCTGACATGTAAGCATACAACAATATTGGCTTGACTGTTCGCAAGATGGGGCAGGGAAAGCTAGACTACAAAGATACAGTGCCAGCAAGGAAGTCCGGGGTTGCAATCATTCGGCTGGCTGGCTTCTTTCAGGGTAGATCTGTCAAAGAATCAACTGTAGTTCCCAACCAGGATTTTCTTCCTTCCGCCACTGCTCCTCATGATACCCTTGTATTATTACATAGGAGCGGCGTATGGAAACTCCCCAAGGACAGTCCTGTGTGCTGGTAAGCAGGTCCAGCACCATTTCCCCTAAAGTATTTCTCAATAAACAGCAAGGATATCTCTGCAAGGATCTCAGCGCTTCACTCGTCGCTTCTCCAACTCTGCTTCGACTCGTTGCCGAAGGGCTTCCTGCAAAGCTGGTTCCAGCTGATTCTGGGCACTGATCTTCTCAACCACTTCTTCAGGGTCATTGTCCTGCACCAAGAAGCAAAGGGGTCCATTAGGAAACATAATAAGCTGTAAGCACCCAACATTTCTCTCCTGCACTGCTCAGATGATGATGCATAAACAGAACTGCTCCTCTATTTTAATACAGCTGGGGAGCCCTTTTTGGAATATAAAGCACTTTCCTAAAGCTTCTAAGAGCTTAATACACACATTTCACTCTTTTTAGAAGGAAACAGTGAAAATTGGTTTTGCCACCAAACTTCTCTGGCATAAGGTTCAGGTTGTTGGTGGCCACAAAATGGGGGTGCAACTCCCCAACCCTACTCCCCAAACACTTCAGTAAATTATCATGGTCAGTAGTACCAAAAGCTGCTGAGAGATGCACGAGCATCTCTCTTTTTAGGGTGCCTAAGGATCAAGACAACCGGTTTCATTAAAGAGCTCTACCCCCTTCTCCAGGTTAAATATGGAATATAGGATACTGGCCAGTATTTATCCAAATCAGCAGGGACTAGCAATGGCTTTTTAAGTGAAGGTTTCACAAGGGTCTTCTTGACAGTTGCAGGGAATACTTCCAAAGGTAAGTACTTATGATGCAAGGGATCACTGGCAAAAACAGCCCCTCTGAAAAGCCAAGCCGGAGAGCAACCCTGCAGGCTAGCAGCAGCGGAGCATCTGCTGCTTCCTCAGGAGACAAGCACCAAGCCGGATGTTAATCAACAAGTTCAGTTATTTTAAATTTCTAGCCTTTCCAAATGAGAAAGATTTTGGTGGGTGGTAAGAAAAAAGCTGAAATTTAGCAATCTATTGGTAGTGCTGGTCCAGGTAAGCTCAGTCAAGAAAGTGTGCATAGGCTTTACTAAGTGGCATGTTATTTCCTGCTGAACCTTAAGCCCAGTGAACTGTTACATTCATAATGTGGGGGTTAGGGTTGGGGGGGTCACACAAATTCCTGTATCATTTTAGAAGGAGCCTGAGACCCTGGGATTGCTCAGCATGAATCTGAGTGATTTTAGGATGGGATTGTCCCAGCCAATGCAGAAAAGTTTGAAAACATGAAGTTGCCATGAAAATATAAATTTAATCATGTGTTCTGTGGTTGAGGTCACCAAGTTTTGCCTGTAATCCTATATGCATTTATTGCGATAAAGTTGTCTTGAAGTCAAGGAAATCAATTCATACCTGGTACAAGATTATAGTGTAACTTGCTCAAAGTGTACAATTTTGTCCCTGTCCAATCTTGAGTCTCTGGTACAACCTTTTTTTTCATCAAAGAATAATTATGATTTATTGTTATCTATGAAACATGTTTTTGTTACTTTGTTTTATGAATTAAAAAAGGAACTAATAGAATGGCAGCTCTATGTTCCAAACTCAAATACTGCTACGTTCCCCATACAGATTCTGCAACAACTATTCTTTTGGACTAGGTCCTAAGACGTGCAGAGCGATTCACGAGCACCAGAATGAAACTCTTTTTTGCACCATGCATAAACAAACTGTTGTGGGAATGGCACTTGAAATGGATAGTTTTAAAAAAGGAATAAACAGGTTTGTGGAGCATCAGACTCTCGTGGGTTACTAATGTTGATGTCTGTTGAGTTGCTCCCGAATCCCAAGCAGCAGACCTGAAATCCTGGTTGGTGGAAACCAACAGAGTAGCCTTTCCATCATTTGCTCACTCAAGCTATTTCACTCTTTTTTTAGCGCAACAGATTGGAGCAATAACCGTGCAAAAAAAGGATAAAAAACTAAATGGACTTGAACCAGACCTGACGAGGATGACAGAATGCTTGCACTAAAAGATGGCAAGGCAGGCCCTTGCAAAAGAAACATTCCTCCCAACCAGCATATCAGACAGGCTCTGTAATTGCACTGAAATGCAGAAAAATTGTGCAATCTCTGCAGCATCTCCAGAAGGGCAAGAGAACAACATGGAAAACAGTGGGGGGGGGGGACAGCCTGGGCAGCCCCGTGTTACCTAATAACAGAGTGGTTCAGTCCAGGTCAGTCCAAGAGGAAACAGGTAGTGCTAAGGCAAAGGCGCTCTTTTATCTTTTAAGCGTTTTCAGCTTGAGGCAGCAGGACAGCAGGTCCTCCTTCTTCACCAGCAGCCACAAAGGAGCTGAGCATCTACCTGGCATGCAAAAGTCAAGAAGGAGCTGAGCACACCTACCTGGTACACGACCACCGAGGTAACTTGGCCACCGTCAGCCTCATATTCCAGGCAGAAAAGGGCAGGTCCGCGGGGCTCTCGCTCAGTACTGGAGCTGCTCCCGCTGGACCCCTCGTACTCGTGGCCAAGGGGGGCTTCAGCTTTACCTGGAAAGCAGAGAGTGGGCGCAAAGGAGGGGTCATCGGGCTCCCCTCGGACTCCCACCGAGACGGACCGGGGGGGGGGAAGCGGAGTCACTCCTC